CCTTGAACCCTAAAGCCGAACACCAAAACCTTAAGCCCTAAATCCTAAACCCTAAACCCACAAATAGTAGTTTCCATTTCTTTTCCATTATCCCTGTATAGCCCCTATATAACCCCTATATAACCCCTATAATCCCTGTAGTTTCCATTTTATTTTCCATTATCCCTAAACCCTAAACCCTATAGTAGTTTCCATTTTCTTTTCCATTATATAGGTATATAGCCCCAATATCTTTCAGCCCATAGCGCTGAGGCATTGTCCTCTCGCACTTCGGCCTCCTCTCGCTCCGGGGGATTGGGAGCCAAGTCACCTGAGGTGGGGGCAACTAAAGTGTTTGGGTTGTATATACTGGGATAATGGAAAAGAAAATGGAAACTACTATAATGGGTTATATAGGGGTAATATATTCTAATTATAATATAGTAGTTTCCATTTTCTTTTCCATTATCCCCATATAACACCAATATATTGTAGTAGCTTCCATTTTCTTTTCCATTATCCCTAAAAGGGTTTTGGGATCTGTAAGCCAGGGTGTGGTGTCTCCAGGGTTCAGCGTGTGGGGCGTGTCAATCGGCAGCCCCACTGAAATCCTGAATGCTAGTCAGCTACTGACTCAGTCCCCCGAAAAAGTTGGCTGTGCCCCAGAGTCGAAACCCACTCAAAATTTTACAGCTGTCAGAAATTGTAAAACATAATTGCTCCGTAAACCCTACAAACTTTGCAGCTTTCCGCCAGTTTCCACCCCCTCGCTTTGTGACTCTACCCCCTGCAGCGCGCGGGATCGACCAGCGGCTTGGACCACAAGAGCATCGTGGCGATGAGCCAGATTTGCACGGAGGACTGACGTCGTAATTCCTACAATCCCCTAGGCGGACCCTTGAAGTCCTCTGAAAGCTCTCAGATAGACTGCATTCATGGGCCCTTAAGATTGCGGCTGCGCAGATAACGGCCTTGTGGACATAGGGTCCGAGATGCAACTCCAGTTCGGGGTTGACAGGCAGACATTGGGTTTCTCCTCAGGTCCTAGTAAGTCCTAGTATAGTAGTTAATCAACTCTCTGGCGTATATAGTGGGCGCTCCCTGCATTTTCAAGAATCCGTCCAGCAGGGCATTCACTTATTCATCACCAGCGGTACAATGTTGGTATGGTGTTGGCCCAACCCACTATTGCAGGGTTTCTAGGGACTATGGCCTGGTCCTGTCAATTGCAAGTTGTCGTGAGTCTTGATTTTGGGGTCCAGCCCTAAACCAGAACCCTGGAGTTTTGCGGGTGACTGGATTCTATGCTTGTTAACTAGGTATTTCTTGTTTCTTGGAAGTGAAGCGAACGTACAATGTATTGTGACCGCAGCTTTGATGCAACGGAGAGGATCTTGATGCCAAGATGCGGGAAAAGAGCGCGCTCACGAAGCAAGTCGCGGAGCTGAAGCGCAGTAAGCTGCAGTGCCCCTCAGGTTTGGGTTTGGGGATCAGGCTTCGGTGTTGAAGGTTCACGATCAGGAGGTATTGGGAGTGCTTAGGATTTAGCAGTTTGGGCTTAGATCTTTGAGGAGAGGGAACCCCAAGATAATGGATCTCTTTTTTTTCATGTTGGTTGCGCTTTAAATGGCAGTTGTTTGACCATGAGAAGGACAGCTTAGCAGTATTTCTCTCATTGCACTTGCGCTTTTTGGGGAGGAATTCTGAGCATCATGGCCCGGCGCTCTGGTCCTTGGGATTTTGGGTCGAGGGAGCAGGATGTCAGCTTCAGGTTGCATGTTTGTGCGAAAAGCTTGTCTTGCTGTCTGTATGAATACGTGGAATTGAGGCCAGGCTGTGCAACTGGCACTGTAAGTGTATGTTACTGCTATCACTTCCACTAGTCCCACCACTGCTGCTTCTGCTGCTGCTGCTGCTGCTGCTGCTAGTGCTGCTTGTGTTTTCTTGCTAACTTCTTGACCCGGGTGTCAACCATGTGAAATCTCTCGATGAAGCACCGGTTTGTGCTCAGTTCAGACTGTTGCTAGAGTATGCTGGAGCACAGCATGTAGCAGTAGATTCCTTCTTTGCCATTCTTACTGGATTTCGATTTGTAACGGACTATGCCAGTTTCGTTTTTTCTTTTTAGAATGATGGCCTTGCCATAGTGGCTCAGGCACAGCGGGTGCTCCATCCCACTAGGCGAGATGCCCATGAAGCTGCTAGCTCTTCTCAGCAAATGCTGTCTTGCAATTCCCGTCACCTTCAAGGTGGACTTCCGAGGACGGCACGTGGCCCCAGGAGGTCCAGTACATGAAACCCTAAGATACCCCGAAGATACACACAAGATGCCTCAAACCCATTACACGATACTTTGGACATATACACCCTGAAGGTCCGCATCTGGTGGGAAGTTTTCAAGAGTGGGATCCTTCGGCAACTTCGATGGTAGATGGCAATGGGGATGGAATCTACGTGGCAACCTTGGACTTGCCGGCAAGTTCACACCAGTACCCCAATATCACGCATTATACCCCAATGTAACCCACCAAAATACTTCAAAAAAACCCAATATACCTCAAGACACCCCAAGATACCCCATGATACCCGATTTTATCAGGGGAAAACGGGTGCGGGGGGGGGGGGGGTTGACATCCACTGTATCCCCAGAGGTTCACATCAGTTCAAATTCATCAATGGCAGTTCCTTGGAAGACACGGAGACTCCGCCAGCATGCAGTAGTGGCCAGACTTACTCAAGGAATTATGGCTACAACAACGAGGATGCTTACCGCCAACTCGAAATTGCAGAGAATGCCACCTCCGCTGAGGTACACCTATGTTTTCAGGAATGCCAGCCTTGTGACGCGCTTTCCCTCTGTAAGATGGTTGACTGCGGTTCTGATCTGGTATTGAAGGACAGTGCTTTGAACGTGCCTGGCGAAACGCGGGCCACATGCTGCAGAGACTTGCTGGGCGGCGGCTGGAGAACACCTGTCGTTGTACGCAGCGCTGGTTATTCCGATGGAAATCGGGCCGAGTTCTGGCTGGACGGCGAACTGATACATTCCACGGGCGAGCGTGTCGTCACTGTCGTCGAAGTGCAGCCGGCACTCCTCGCAAACTACCTGTCGTATGGATGGCGAGCTCCAGTCAAACACAAAGAGACCTTTGACACCTACGTGGATTCATCCAAGCTGGAAGCCTACCTATCGACTGTTCCTTCTGGCCACCTACTCCTCATGGGGGCCGTGGATGAGGCTTCTGCAATGCTTAGCCCGCATGCAAAGGCTATGATTGGTACCTGTGGGGCCAAATCCATTCAGCAGGTGGGCTTTAGGAGTTCCTATGCTCTTATTGGACAGAAAAATGGGAGTGCCTTATCTGAGGTGGCGTTGCCTGAAGGCAGTGGACACGCTGTTGCAGTTGCAGAACATCTGCTCCCACACCACGTGTACAAGTTGTGCAAGATGTACAACTGCTATTGGGGAATCTTCCGTAATGTCCTGAGAGCAGATGCCATGGAAACACCTGGTCACCTTGAGGAACATTGTTGTGAAAGAGCCAAACAAGGCGAGCAATCTTTGGTGGTGCGAAGCGAGGGGTTTTCAGATGGGAACAGGGCCGAATGTTGGTTGAATGGTCAACTCCTCTATCGAACTCGCACACGCGGGCTCACGGTTGTGGACCTGTGGCCCAATATGACAGTGAAGCACAGGGAGACCTTCGACACCTCTACTTTGGTTGCATACCTGAGCTCAACTGCTACAGGTAACATTATACTGGTTGGAGCAGTGGATGAAGCATCTAGAGGCTTCAGCCAAGAGGCAGAGAATCTTCTTCGCCAGTGCGGAGCCACATTTCCCAAGCCGCTGCCCTTTCGTAGCTCTTACGCTCTCATTGGGATCAAGGCCGGACGCGCCTTGTCGGAGGTGGTGATGTCGGAGTTGAGTGGATGCGCTGTTGCTGTTGCTGAAGTAATCCCGTCTGAGCAAGTGCGTTGCAACCAGTACAACCGCCCGGCTGGATTTGTGCTGAAAGCGGATGCCATGGAGACGCTCGGTGCATCCCTCGAAACTTGCTGCAAAGCAGCCGGGGCAGGCGAGCAAGTCATTGTGGTGCGAAGCGCTGGCTATGAGGATGGGAACAAGGCCGAGTTTTGGTTGAATGGTGAACTCCTCTACGAGACCAGCAAGCGGGGTCTCACAATTGTGGACCTGTGGCCCAACCTGGCAGTCAAGCACAAGGAGACCTTTGACACACATGCCGATTGCACTACTTTTATTGCATACCTGAGCTCTACCGCTGAAGGCAACATGATATTGATCGGAGCAGCAGATGAGGCTTCTGCGGGAATCACCTTGGAGGCGGCAAACCTTCTTCGGGAGTGCGGGGCCACATTTCCCCGGCCGATCTCCTGGAGGAGCTCTTATGCTCTCATTGGCATCAAGGGTGGAAATGCTTTGTCCGAGGTAGTGAGAAGAATGGAAGATGGAAAAGCTGTAGCCGTTGCTGCGACTCTGCCTCCTAATTTGCAAACGACGACCACCTCGACTCTCGACAGGTTCATGCCTGTGGATGGAGGCATGGACCGTGCCTGCCGCGGGGCGGGGCCTAGCGACAACAACCCGAACTACTACAGGGTGGTCTCAGGCATAGAATCCCTTCTCGCTTGCAAAGAGGAGTGCATGGGTTCAGAGGCATGCGTCGGCGTTGAGCACAGCGGAAGCCGTTGCGAAGTCTGGACACGTCCCGAAGGCATTCAGGCCTCCATTCATCTGGCACGCTTTACTTGCCTCAGCTACAATGCAGCTGTGACAACAACCATGGCAGCAACCACTACCAGGGCCACTGCGAAACTTTTTGCAGCTGTGGACGGTGGCATCAATCGTGCCTGCCGTGGGGCATCCGCTTCCGACAACGATCCAGGCAACTACATGGTTGTCGCAGGTGTACAGCAACTTGGGGATTGCGAAAGCTGAGTGCGTAAAGGTCGTTAACTGTGTAGGCATTGAGTTCAGCAGTGGTAGATGTGAAGTTTGGATTCGTCCCGATGGCATCCAGGCTACAATTGCACTGAGCGGCTTCACCTGTCAACGTTTGGTCGGAGCGACCCGACGATTAGATGCGTCGGTCTTCCCTTGATCTGTGCTGCACTGTGATGTGTGTGATATGGAAGTACGCAGGATCATGCCTCAACTCCGCCAAAGGCGGCCATCATTCCGTGTCAGAACTAATAGGACTGCGTAATTTTCATCAACTCTGCAGAGGCCAAAAAAGTGGCATTTCAAGTTTCGCTGCAGAGCATCCCAGTTTTGCGGGGCATAGCCCTGGAATCTTGCAAGCTCAACGGTAGCTTGGTACCCCTGCGGACCCAGCGCGTAGTAATCGCGACTGGTGCAGAAACGAAGGGTGTGTTTGAATGTTTGAACGATCAAAGATTGCGCGATGCACGGCCATACAGTGCTGTTTCAGCAGCAGGGTCTTCGTGCTAGTAGCCTTAAACCCAAAACCCTGAACCCTAAACCCTAGCTTGCAGCTTAAGCACGGAGCCAAGTAGCTGGCAGGAAAGGCGGCAGCTCACCAAGTAGCTTGCTGAGCATCGTGCATCTTCGGTTGCTTTGATTTTGGGTGTCTGGCACATGTCTAGACAATGTTCTTAATCCGTTTTGAGACTGTCGTCTGAGACCTTGCTTTCAACGCGGCTGGCCAGCATAAAATGATACAGCGTTTGCTACTGACTTGCTGACGTCCATGCTGTTCCATGGCCTTTTTCAAAGAACAAGATCCGAGATGAAGACGTGCCCCATGTTGGAAGTGACTAAGGCAGCGCGGCATGGTCGTCTTGAAGACACAACAGTCTTGTAGTACTTGGAAGCAGGTGCCAAGCTAAAGAAGCCAAGTGGCTGGAATCCCCAAATGATTCATTCCATACAAAAACGGATAAGCGCCCTAGGCTAAGAACCAACTCTGCACAGGGGCGCATCACAGCCTCGGAAGTCTGGACTGGTCGATATCAAGTTTTAGGAGTGACTACAAAACAAAGCTCCAATGTCTGAGCAGGCGCCATTAGCTCATTAACCTTGGCCCTACTTGAATATTTCCCCGAACTCTTAGCCGCTATGGATTAGCTTCAGTTGTTCGAGCTTACTTGCGATGACATTGGGGCTTCCAAAAAATAGAGATCCCTGTATCGGGCTGGATCCCTTCTTATAAAGGGATTTTTCATATTCGAACTGCTCAGTGAGATGGATCTGACCACCTTTGCACACTGAACCCAGAGAAAGTACAACTTTTTCAGCCAACGAAGCTGTGGCTGCGATTCCATGGGCTTCCCCCAGGTGCAGGCAGCACCAGCCTTCCTTGCTAAGCAAGCTGGCAGGTATGAAACCAAGCTGCAGAAGAAAAAGAAAGACGATGACAGCATAGTCGTGCAGACCATGGATCTGGAGCGGTGGGGGCTCTTGCAAAGGGGCTCTTTGGGGAATATTTGACCCCTAACCTATTTGGGATGCTATCATTTCATGGGTATGTCAGGAACCCAAGGCAGCGGCATTGCGTGGGTATTAAGAAAGGACAGAGGGTTACGGCCCATAGCATGGGACCGTTGACCATCAAAAAGTATCGAATGGAATGGTCACTTGAGCAATTCATCTTACGGTTTTAAGTATGGGCCCCTCATATGGGCCCTCAGCCCTTTTTAGGAACATTCTAGGGACCCTTAAGGGTACGTATATAGGGTATATAATAGGTATATAATGATTTCATGGTAGGGCCTACACTTGTTTGTCTACTGGCGCAGGTGGTTTCATTCTCTTGGAGGATAGCCAAAAAAACTTTGTGGGGGAGGGTTTCGTTTCATGGTTCTCCTTGCCGTTTGATTCTCCATGTATTTCTCCATGTGTGGACAATGTGTGCTTCTATATTGCAAGGATTGTAGGGCTCTGATCTTCCTAAGTATTTTGGCATCTACTACAGCTGCAGGGTTGAAACCCGAACCTGATTGGCGCCCGGGTGATTGGACTGATCAAGTAATGACTTTTGCACAGAAGCTTGATCCCCTTCGGAAATAAGGCTGTGCTTTTTGGATGCCTTACGCTTGCTGGAACCGGCAGCTCTGCTAGGAAACATCCATGAACCGCTTCATCAGGAGTTATAGGATGGGAGACGAACCAAGCCCACCACGCTCCTTTGGATTTCCCCTTTTGAGGAGAAAAAGCTGCAGACAATCAATAACAGCTCAGCACTCAGCTATGAAAGGTGCTTGGTGATTTCCCTTCGCACTACTCAGGATGGTACTGTAGGCATACTTTAGGAGGATTGTTTCCCCCAGTGATAACCCCCTCCATCCCCATAACGACGAATATTTTCCACATTACAGGACAGTTCATTTGGCATACTCCAACGGATTCCAAATTTTCTGGCGTCCGGGCTTTAAAGCTTGTGATTTTGTCTGCAGGCCCTTGGGTGCTGCTTGATCTAGTATTGACCTGGCTGCATGATTTCCGCTGTCATACGCAGGTCCAGCATGAATTAATCTAGGGACTCGCCGTGTACACACACCTTCTCACAGAAAAGTGCATGCATAACTATCACCAGCAACCTATCCCCTCGGTGGACTGGAAGCAGCATCCCTGTCATGGGCCTTTACTTGACCGGTTACAGCAAACATTGTTGGGCTTAATGTCTACATCGCAAATGGGAATGGTTATAGACAGATGGCACTCCTGCGTCAATGTCCTGCTGAACCCCCGAGCTCTTGACCTGAATCCCTTTGACTTTCATTTTAGCAAAATGCTGTAAGCCTCGAACTCTGAAGCCGATAGTTCTGTGTAGACTCCAAGCACTCAAGTCAAATGACCATACTAGCATGTCTTTGGAGATTGGTCAGTGGAGTGCAGCTGACAGGAGTCGTGCAAAGCCCATCCGGGTAATTACCCGAAGCAAGGAAACCATCGACATGACATGAGCATCATTACTTTGATGGTTAGACCTCCGAGTTCCTGCAGGATCCTGTCTTGCGTGCAGCGAAACCTACCCTGCCGAGGCAATCGAGTGGCCACTTCAGAGTTGTCAGGCGCATGTGTTTCTTTCTGACTCGGGTTTGGCAAGCAAATCTTTGTGGTTCTGTCACAAAAGTAGCACCAGAAGTTTGATGTCTGATTTGAGCTGAGGGTGCTCCGCGAGTCTTTGTTACATTGCGATGGGCTGTTGTGTTTTGGGGCATTCCTAAACTTCAACCATGACACACGCATGCAACTTCCATAGTGCACTGATCCTTCACTGTACGTTCAAGCATCTAAAGTCTCATACGTCCATGGCCGTGAACCTCCTAAGCAGAGGGGCCTGCTTGACATGTGCACCTATCCTCTTTTCAGGCTCTATAGTCTCAAAGGGAAGTCATTCACTATTTTTGTCTCCACCAAGACACTCCTGAGAGGCCAGTAAGTGCACAATTCCCATGCGGGATCTCAGGGGCCCTCGGGGTAGCAAGTAAGCCAAACACACAGACACTCCAACCTCAAACCCCTAAAACGCACATCTTTAAACCCAAAGCACCCAGCCGCAGCCCTCAGTCCCTTTCCCGTGGGGACGGCTCATATGTGACCCTGTGTAGTCCGCATCCCTATATGTTTCCTACCCCAACAAACCGTGAAGATCCACGTGTTTGTACTGATATCCCACACATGAGAACCCCATAGCCCTGCACCCCAAACCCCTATTAGTGACTGCTGGGGTATATAATTCCATTCATAAGGATTTATTCGTAGCAATCTAATGGATAGTTTTCCTGATTAGAACCCCAATCTAGATCTCAAAATAACATAACCCGTGATCTTGGGACCCCAAGAAGGGACCACTGATCTTGGGAAAGCCTCATATTACGGCGAGCCTATTGAGGGGTTTGATCTGGGGGCGTACCTCAGTAGTATTTTGTTTGGGGATACTATAATATGCTGCATCGACTGAAGTCCGTGAATAATATGGTACCCACTATAGAGTAAGATTATATCCTCCTCCTTTTGGGTATGATATTTCACATAATTATGGTAATTTCCATAAATAAGGGGACCCCAATATAGACCCTAATATACTATAGTCCTTCTTATGGAGACCCCCAAAATGGTACCCCTAATTTTGGGAAACCCTAATCCTTATCAACCCCCATTTCCATTTCATTTTCCATTTTCTTTTGCATTTGATTCTCCATTACAGGGGCAAAAGGTACCCCTGATTTTGGGAAACTCCCATATTTTGCCCCATATTGGGAAAGCCCCATATACAGAATATTTTACATATACAGAATAAAACCCTAAACCCTAAACCCTATATACTATACCTTTGAGAAGCAGGCTTGGGCTCAGAGAACGAGCGGCTGCGCCAAGACATTGACGCTCTGCGGTCACACCTGCATGAGGCCGGGATCCGAAACGATTGAAGGTGTTTGGGGCTTCATTTTAGAGGTTTAGGAGTTTGGGGGTTGTAGGGTTTGAGGGTTTTTGAGGGTGATTTGCACGGATTGGTCGCCAGTTGGTTTTTCCATTCTTGGACTTTGCTTTGGCCTTTGGTCGCTTGGTCTTTCTCGGGATTTGCGTGTCTGCGCAGACGATCTGAGATGCAAACAAAGCTTTCGGCCTCGAGAAATCGGCAAAACGTCATGGGATGATTGGCGGATATGTCCTTCTCCATGATGGCATTTCATGCCCTGGCATGCATGTGCGAGGATGATGACTGCAAGCCGCACTTTGACGGGCGCTGACTACAGTATTCTGCCCTATCTGAACTAATCCATCTCTGTATGATAACCTTGTGTGGCTGAATGGTGCCCGCGGACTGATGCTTCTTCTGTATATTCTGCAGAGGTCACCTGTTTAGGATGATATCAGCCTTCGGGATGTACGGGTGCGGATGGCAGAAAGTACTTCCAGGATTCCAGCTTTAGTGTGCATGTTGTGGGAGTCCTACATTGTTGCAGGCCGTT